TATTGAGCCGGGACAAGTGAATAAGTACTCTGGTCCAGCTGTCGCGGTGTACCAGTCGTTATTTATGCTTTGACTACTTCTGAACTGTAATTTTTCCAGACTGGTTTATTGAGTGAATTGGCATAGCTGTAGTAGGTGCAGTAGCTATTACGTTTTCTGGAAGGGTGGGCTTGCTTTGTTCTTCTTGAAGTTTGTTTTTGGTTTCATAATGAAGTTCGAATACTATTTAGATGTTGGCAGTGTGGGGAACCTTTTCCCACCTGGTAGGGTGAATTCATTATTAGTTAAGAGGATTATAGCTTTTGTACTTTTCATGTTAACATGGCAATTTTGTATCTTATACATTGTATGATTTTAAATAATCCTATAAATACTCATCATATTCATGCATGTATGGTATAAAATAATTACGTTTTGCAAAATGTCAAAGCTGAAATTTAGTTACACTCTTCCAATAATTAATATTGTTTCACTTTTTGGTAAAATATCTCATATCCACATGATTGAACCTCGTACATATACGTAAAATGTTTAATCTGTCCACCAATATTTAGTTGGGGTTGACTTTACCTGGATTGAAAGAGTAATTTGCTTCTCCTCTGATCCAAAATGGGGGTGGTAAATACAGACCACGATCAAAGCCAATGAATCAGTACACATTTATATTGCAACGTTAATTTGATTGATTGAATTGACTATCCTGTACATACCACCAATCCAATCACCAAAACAAATGTTGTGTAAGAATTGTGTCCATTTATCTTTTTTATTTATTTTATAATTTAGAAGCTATAATTTAGATATTATATAATTTATTTATTTTATTTTTTTTTATTTATAAAAGAGATGTTGGGTGTTTCTACTGAAAGTGTGTTGTTTTTAAGTACAAAACATAGTTAAGGAATAATATTTTAACATTATGTTAATTAACTTAAAAATCTATTATCAACAAAGTACTTTACAAGATTGTATACATGGCAGTTCTGTTCCATACGGTTACAGAAAAAGAGCAATATAACCGAATGGATTTAAAGATAAGAACTACAGAAATCATTTTAAGGTTTTGTTTTTCACTCATTTATGTATATGTATCACAGGACATACATTGGGGATTTAATAATTAGACATTAAACTTACGAGTTACTAGCTTACTAGTTTATTATTGATAGTTTAGGAAAGAGGATTATGTTCCTGTAAGAACGGCTGGCTGAAGACGCATTCAACCTCAAGAAATAAATTTTGTTTTATGCCTTGCAATCACTGTTACTTACATAAACAAAGAAAGCAGCGATAAGTTTAAGTGTAGATGCGTCATGTGGTATAAATCTTAAGGCTGTATAAACAACATAAAACAACGTACGGTACTCGGCACTTGCTTACATGTAAGCTACATAATCGTTTAAGGATAACTATCTAGCAAATTTAAATTACAATATATATGTTTTGAGGTGAAATTAATACTTCTACACATTTTTTTCAGAAAGTATCATAATTTAAATAGTTCTTTCAGTACGAAAGAGTCTTTTGCTAACATACTATATCTTCTACAACCTAATAAGACTTTACGTTGAAAATAATACTGTTGCTTAACCCTGCGTGCGTGTGTGGGGGGGGGGGAAACTATCTATTTGATAACCCAGTAGATAATAGTATTGATTTAAATTAAGAAATAGATTCAAACTATATCAGGGAAGAGACCATAATGTACACAAGACCACAGCCAAGCTTGTATAGTGTTAGGCAACCTTATCATAGTTAAACAACAACATCGTGTGACTATTTTTTGGCAAGATGGATTACGACGATTACGACACGCTACGTAAGTTGCACTTCCCTTCTAGTAGTGATTTATTGTTTATCTTTGTATATACATATACATATTTGAATGTGAAATTGCAACCAAATTCAAAACCTAAAAATGCCTAACTAACAAAACCTAAATACAGGGCATTGGTACACCTTAAATACTATATAATACAGTAGGTAGTATTATAGTACTATATTATTATACTATATATACTATATATACTTTATATACTATATACTATATATACTATATATTATATATACTATATATATTATTATTATAGTACTATATTACTATTATATAGTACTATATAATACTAGTTCTATTGCATATGTATAGTATTTTTTGTCCAAAATAAAAATTATTATTACTATTTTTGCAACAAAAAAAATCTGTTTTGTGCAGCTTTGAACCGGTTTAAGGGTTGCTAATGTATTTTAATGAATAACGCGTACCTAATATGTTGGATCAAGTAAGGACTTTTCAAAATCTGAAAAATAAATCAAATCTATTTAAAAGGTAATTCTAGTCAAGCAAAAGAGGCAATTTCAGATATCAAAAATCCAATCAAGTCTAATACCAAAATTTTTTTCTTCCTGTTCTCTGGTGAACTTGAAAGCTGGAGATCAGTTTTCTTATGGTTTGGAAATTGTTAGATTGCCATTCAGGTTAAGAACTTACGTTACAACACACCAACAAAAAATCTAGTGAGTTCAATTATTTACTAAATTTACGTCCGTGTTTATACATTGCATCTACAAAGTGACCAAACGGTCATCATAAAAGGATTTGCATTCATTTTTTACCCGTATCGTGTTGCAGCCCCTTTAAGTGCCTCAGCCAGGCGAGACTACGACAAATGGATCGGAGACAGAAGGGAACAGTACACAGACGATGAGGAGGATGAAGAACTGGAACAGCCCCCGTACTACCAGATGCCAACTGTGGTGTCACGGGACGAATGGGGGGCTCTGCCCCCTTTCAGCAGACCCCCTCTCAAAATGCCTGTCAAGTACATCAGGTTCACCTGCACAATGACACCGCAGTGTAAACACAGAGAAGACTGTGACGCGCAGGTCCGCAAGATACAACAGGACGCCATCCAGACCAGGAAGATACCGGACATCGACTACAAGTATTTTTGTCCAGGTTCAATAGCTATAGAATCATAATGTGTTATGTGTATGGCCATGTAAAAGTTGTTTATAATTTGGTGACACTCTATGGTGAGCCAAGAGTTAAAGAAGATTCACGTATTGTATCCCCGATTCCTGGAAATTTTATTTAAATTAATTGCTATCTTACAATATGTCGGCGTTAAATATTGACATGGTATTTTAGGTGAGGTCAATACTTCAGTATGATAAATATTTTTTTGGGCATCATTCACCTTATTGAAATCAGGAGAACATGGTCCTTGTCATATCACATATCACAGTTCATTGCACATACACATTGATAAAAATACAAAAATAAAAATAAAACTAAATATAAAATCACAAACTAATGTTCTCAACTCCGACGTTTCGCCGCAACAATATCAACGTGCGGCGTTTTCAAGGTTATATTTTCTTCTCACGTAAACGTTGTGATATTGTACTACATATACAGGGGTTTACATATACAGTAATATTGTACGTACATAGGGTTGATGGGGAGACAATTCCGTGACTTCTGAAGAATTAGGTGTGATGTCTAAAAGTTAAGAGTTAAAAGTTAGTTAAGAGTTAAGATGTAAAAGTTAAGATTGCAGTAAACCATAAAATGTACATTTTTGTTCACCAGGTTTACTTTAATATAAAAACATAAATTAGATAAATAATACACGAAACATATTTGTACGGCATTACAAATGATTTTTCTTTGTTCAGTTTTCTAGTAGGTGGAGACTTTGCACATATTTATGAAGGACGGGGTTGGTTCGTTGATGCTACAAGACCAAAGAAGCTTCAGTATCTGAGAGGAAACTGTATAGACATAGCGTTCATAGGAGACTTTACACGTGAGTTTTATTGACAGATATAGTATATTACGTTACTAGTCCTGAAAATAAGTGTTTACCGGACGAGTGTGGTCGTTCCCGTGCGAGACGAAGTCGAGTACGGGATTAATATACGAGTCCGGTACACACATTTTGGACGAGTTGCGTACGATAGTTTACGCCATACTAATAAATCTGTACAAATCTTTATATATTTCCACCAACTAAAGGACTAAGAATCACTAGTCATAACCTCTAAGAGAGGTTATGTTTTTGTTTATAACCGTTCATTGCCACCTAAATACAGTATAATCAGCTGATTGGTGTCCGGTAAAACTCATTACAGTACAGTAGTACGCAATGAGCCCCCATTTGAATAAGCTGGCGGCAAACAGCTGTTTTCTGGACTAAATCCTTGCGTGGGAAGTTCGTCAAAATAGTGTAGTGTGGCGTAAATACTTTTACACTGTGTTATAATGGGAAAAGAAGGTACTTGCTGGAACGATGTATTTCGTAAGATTCACTGGTAATAAAGTGGCGCCGGTTAATTTCCGGAACTCAGCATACACACATAGAGTGGATAACATGAATTAAGGATCTTTTAAGGCTATCTTCAATTCGTTAAACCCTATTTTGTGACAACACTGTTTTAGCATTGGCCAAAATTTAGAACTTTATTCATACAATTCATCGTTGTCAAACAATTTCATTGAAAGTTCTCCAATCAGAACAAAGGAGTTATTTGAATACTTATGCGATACATCAAGAGTTGTCATCGCAAAAGTTCTTCTAACATAAAAAAATACTAACGTCATCCAAATACATTTTAGCGAGTAGGTGGTGGATTCAGGCTACAGTATTTCCGAATGAAATAAATTGTTTGGGAGTGATCTGGTCTAGTGGTTAACACTAGACTTTGGTCTCTAAGGTACTGGGTTATAATCCCACCAATCGCCAGTGGAATGTTATCTACGTGATAATTCCGTAAACTCTGGGCCTGGACTGAAGTAATGTGAAAATACAATCCCTGGCTAGGACCCAGCTTAAAGAACGAAAGAAGGTTTTTACTGTAGTCAAACTCATAATCTGCACGAGGTTGTTCATTGTTAACGGCAAATTCTGCTTACCCAAAAAGAAAACTATAACCCATAAAGAGAGCTGAATGAACGCTTATAAATACAAATCGAAAAACAAGTTTACTTTGATTTATTAGATTTCAAATTTGAAATACGTATTTCACACACGATTCACAAAATGTTTATGTTTTAGAAAATGACCCACCCGCGCCAATCCGCTTTAACGCTGAAAATGTAATATTACTTGGGCAGCATTACGGGTACGTTGTAAGAGGTGGTCTCATAGACAGGGAGCCTGTTGTGATACCTTTCAGGGATGGTATTGATATGAGGAGATGGTCACAGCCTTCAATGGATCACCTAGACCCGGCTTACTAATGTAATATTGGTATTGTGATATTTGTGTGGATATGTAACCGACTTTGTTAATATAATGTAACAATAAAGCAAATTAATAAACACGATACATTATTCTTTTTATAGTTAATAGTTTAGGTAAGTAGGTGAGACGGTCTAGAGATAGGACAAAGTGTTTTTGTCCTCGAGGTCCCAGGTTCCCACCTTGCCAATCAAAACAATACTTTAGTAATGGTCTAACGTCCTCACCTTCTAGGTATAAATTAATGTGTAAAATGGTCCCAGACTAGAGCCTGGAGTCCTAAGTTGTGAAGATAAGAAATTAAAATTCAGTCTGGGTAAGAGTATGTATCATTTCATACATGTTCAAATAAAATACCTGTCTTGCAATAAAAAGTATTTGTTGTTGCAGCTACCAGGTACCCAAGAATATTCGAGCTTGCGACTTTCCCCTTAGTTAAATTGGGTATTAGAGAAAAGTACATATCAGAAAATATCAGTATCATCGGAATGGACGATAATCTGGTGGTTCAACCACCTCATCCGACCCCGTGATCACTGCAATACAACTAAACACTTTTAAATAAACTATTTAAATACACTACCTATTGTATTCATTTTATTTTTATGTAAAAAAATAAGTTTGGTTACAACATTTTAATGAAATAATTCCTAAATTTATTGCTAACTAACTTTTTGACAAAGCATAATGTAATGATATCATATTGGTTTATTTACAAAATGCATTACACTTTTACTGTATATTATTAAATAGTAAAAAATCTATTTACGATTTAATAGCTATAAATCGTTTTTTTTTAGAAGGCCAAACGTGCTCTTACTTTTATAAAGTGCCTAACTCTACATTATAGGTTTTAGTAAAAAATATTATTAGTAAATAATCTACATCTGGACGGTCATGGCAAATGAAATTAACTAAATGTATAATTTATTCACAACTTACATGTAATATAGACGCAGCAACCCACAAGGTAGAAATATAAAATACTGTGAATGTTGAGTACAATTTAAATAGGAAATGATTAAAACATCAAACATAAGGTAGATTTGGAGATAGGTCAGTTAGAATAATGTTTATATGTTAAAATCGTTTGGAAACAACTTTTTATTGTTGTTTGTCCAAGCACTAAAATAAACAGTAAATACTGTTGTTTAGAGTTGTGGAAACCGAAAGACATTTTAAAAAGATAATGCACCAAGGTTATCATACCTTATCGGTCATTGTTTACATGCCTAAAGTATCATAGTTGGAAACCAATGTTAAAACATGCCAACAGGGTTATATGAGAGAGAAACGGAACAAATACATAAAAATAGTATGACACTTTAAAGGAAGATAGTGTGATTGGTGACTTGTGAAGTATGAATTCGAATTGATTACTTATTACGAATCATAAACTCTTCCATGTGAGTATTTGTTTTGTTAAAATATCTTTGGCAGTTATAGTTCAGTAATTAGTAATAAAATGTGTTCTAAGTGAATAAAAAAATGTCACTTCTTAACGCATATTTTGTACAAATACTCGTCCAAAGTCATGATGTTTATCTATTCCGTTAGGTAGCTTCATCAATAACGTTTTTATATCTGTGATTTATTGGTTCTCATTTTATCCAAAAAATACAACCTAGCAATAGGGTCGCATTAATATAAGGACAATGTTTAGGTGTAACTAATTTAGGAATTACATACTACAATACAATGACACCTCCTGTCCGGAGGATATAGGCCAAATTTGATAGTTTATTTTAATCAGACTAAGAAATTCAAAGTCAAAACCTAGAATTTTAAAGGCTACTACCAGATTGAAATGCATTTTATCTTGTAGCAAGTGAACTAATAGTAATCACACTTTGTCGTTTATTACGGCTTAAATTCAGTTTCACCTCTTACAGATCCCCATGGACGAGTTCCTCGAGGAAGTTTCGCGGGAAGAATGGGGAGCTTTGCCGCCAAAATCCACCGAGGATATCATACTCCCCATATGGTACATACGCTTTCAGTTCACCGGACCAGATATCATATGCCACAACCGGGAAGAATGCATTCCGTTACTGAGGAAGATGCAAAAAGAACACATGGAGGAGCTTGGCCTACCAGACATAAAATACAAGTAACGTCTGCTTATTTGGCATCTAGAGATTTTTTTATTTAAAGAGTGTATACAATGTATACAGAGTATACAGAGTGTAAACTCTCTTGTATGAAATATGAATGGTTTGCATATTTGTTCCTCAGGCCGAAACAATGAAAAGGCCTATACAAACTTGGGTCTAAAATGGTTGGTTTTATGAACTCACAAATAATAATTTTTTTTGTCCTATAAGGCACGAGCCTGGGATTGTTTTTAACATTACTTCAGGCTAGACTTTGCGGCATTATCACTTAAATAAAATACATTGGTGACTTGGCGGGGATCGAACCCGGGACCTCACGGACCGAAGCTCGCTCCCACCAATAATAATATTATTCTTAAGGAGAGTTATAGTAAAAAATGTTTAGTAAGGCAATCATCAATTGTTATACACTTTTTAAACTGTATTTTAAAATGTTTTCTTGTAAATGTTAGTTTCCTGATAAGCACTGACGGTGTAGTGTACGAGTGTAGGGGATGGAAACATGACGCGTATGACCCCATCAAACACCATGATCTATGGAAAAACCACTTCATCAACATTGGGTTCTTTGGAGATTACAGAAGTAAGCAAACACTAAGTATAGCAGTTTACTAGTGCAAGTAGGCTCACTAGGGATAGTAACTTTATATATTATTGGAAAAACTGGGACTGGAAAAATAGTGCAAATGCTACAATTAAATATTTTTGTTGTACTAGTTGCCCATTAAATTTGCATTGTCTACGTCATAAATATAAATATTTTTAAAAAGTTTCAGCACGGTGCTTGGGACAACATAAACACTTACTATAGAAAAAACTATTTGTCATTGTGGTCAAATACGGTAGTTATAAATCTCTTAAGTAATTTTATATATTTGACTTTTTGAGTGGGGAAGGTTTTATGTGCTCTTTTTACTGATTACAGTGATTAATGAAAAACCGATTGTTCAAATTTATTCTGTTATGTTCATTTTTACTTAAGGGTCAATAATTATTCTTATTTCAGAGAAAGCTCCGTTGCCCATGAAGGCTGAAAGAGCCGGGCTGACTTTGTACTTCCGAATGCAAGAAATGAAAATGGTGGCTAGTGAGGTAGTCCCTATCTACTTTACAGTTGGGAACAAAGACTTCTCTTTCTATTGAGATTATACATAACTTGGATATGTTGATTTACACATATTATGCTGTTAGGTGGGATTCCTACAGGACAACCTTGTGCTGTGCATACATTTATGTTTAACACGAAATATTTATTTCATATTATACATCATGTGCTAGATGACAGTAAACTGGGGATATCTTTCAAACTGTGAGCATGTTATGTGAGTAATATTTCGTTGTAGTTTAAGCCATAAGTAAACATTATTTAAAAAAAAAATCACCCAGGTGCGTTATTGATGTTTATTCCTATAAATTATTTATTTGCTATCATCAATTTAACAATCCTAACGTCATAGCTTTAAAAAAAACGAACCACGTATATCTAATTTAGATAAATATAAATAAAAACCACCATAAATACTATGAGCTTGATAAAATGTCTTTTAAAGGATGTATTATTAATAATATACTAAATCCAACACACCGTATATACAAATCAATAGAGAAATCCAAACAGAAAATCGTTAGCACAGTAAATAATTTTTTAAACTAGACCATTTACACGTGCCTACGTCATAATAATCAATATATCTTATCAACGGGAGATCTTTATATTTTTTTCAGTTTACTTACTTCAGTGTCTCCTAATCTTTGTTCCAACATGACTCTTTTGCTTGGCCGACTGTCACGGTAGTTTTTTGACGAACTTGATTGAGATTTGACGTGCTTGGGGGTACGAAATGGATTCGTTTGTTGAGTTTATGAAGGTAAAGAACGATTGGAGGGTCGTATCAAAAGATGTTTGGGGAGGTGCGCCCCCTCGTGCCACGGAACCTCTACAGCATCCAGTGTCATACGTGCGAGTAACCTACACTATGACTGACCCTTGCAGGAAGAAGGCTACATGTTCTAATATCCTGCAGGACCTGCAGGGCCATCACATGAACGAGCTTAACCTCCCAGATATTGAGTGCAAGTAAAATTATAAACTATATTTTTAAAATTTAGGGTTTATTAAAATGTTATGATTGAAATGCCATACAAAATATAGGAAAGATAAGTAAACAAATTACCTTTAAGAAAATTCAATATCTTTTTTTAGTCTACAAAAAAGCTCTAGTCCTAAATATTTATATTCCACAATAATGATAAATACACAAAACTCTACTATAAATAACTGACACTTTCATTCAAACAGCAAATATTATTTACTCATACAGAATAATTAAAAAATAATTAAAATATGACCACAAAGTACATAATCGGAAAATTTTGTTCGTCTAGGGAACTACTTAAATGGTCAACATTTTTCACAAATTGGATAAAAACTGTAGGCCTATCAACTAACCGACACATAATTTCTCCCATTAGCAAGTTAAAATTAAACCTCTACCTGTATCTCTAACTGATGTTCTATATGGGGCTAGTATAAATGTTATGGGAAACATCAGCAAAAGTAAAAATTTACTTAGTGAAACAAGCAATAATTTTAGTACCATTCAATAATAGAGAGTCGGAATGGAAAATTGTTTGCAAGAGCAAATCTTGGTGAGAAATTCGTAACCAAAACCAACTCTAAAAAAAATACTTTTTAATTTCAAATTAATGTTAGATTATAAAATGTATTACACATTTCAAATAAGCTGTAGTGGAATACACATTGGAGTCATAAAAAACCATTTGCATACATCAGGCCTACTTAGTAATGCTATAATATGTTTGAAACATATGCATATGTATAAAATGTGTTACGTCATCTCCTCAGTATTACATAATTTAATTACAGTTTCATGGTCGGTGTTGACGGCAGCGTGTACGTAGGGAGAGGGTGGTACGCTGATGCCTATATACAGGGTGTACATCATCCTCGGCTGAAGGGAAACTGTATCCACATTGGATACATAGGATACTACAAAGGTAAAACCCCCCTTAAGTAGCTAATCATGGATGTTGAAAAATCTTATTGGATATAAAAATGAAGGATTTTTGCCCTGCCATTCTGAATCAATCACTTGACGGATTTTCGTTATACTTCTGATGATTTAAGGGTAGTTTTGCGGGGAAGGGAGTTTACCAACCAATATACCCAAAACTGGAGTATAGTAATTTTTACGTAAATATATTATGTAAAAGCTTATTCTATTAAAGTTTAAATTCATGTTAAGGAAATACTGTAATACTTTATAATGAAATCGTGACCATACAAAGTAGGTATTTTAAGCCAAGTATGAATGGAAATAAGTGTAGGATGAGTGGCGCCACCTTGTAGTCTTTTTGTGACTAAGACCGACATATTCCTTAGACACCAGCTGTTAATCAATAGCCCATCCAGCTAATGACAACTAAGGGACCTACAGTTTATAGTGGAATCCGAACCACATTCTTGCCTTGGTATAAACGAATTGGTCTAATTACCAGGATAGTACTGCGGATAGTCGTAGTTCCCAATCGTGCGGACGTTAATCCACAACAGGGAGTATCGCATCCTCAGTGCATGCCTATATTTTATCCACAATTCGTGGCCTCCTAGTAGACGCCACCCTTCCCAGTCAATTATATGGAATAATAATTTATTCCACAAAGTATTACTTAATTGTTTAAATTACAAGTGGTTTACACGTTTATAGTTCCTTTCGTGTTTGAATGTCTGCCTATTGGTTGTCATTATGTTGTTTACTAACAAAAATTGTAACCAGTATAGTAGGTATACTATATGGGTCTAAAACAGTTTAGGTCCAAATGGCTGCCAAGAAACAAAAATAATAATTTCATAGTACACCGTAGGTCCCTAGATTACTACTGTATGGGTCAGGAACGTGAACACTGGCCACGAAATAAAAAAAACTTCTAAGTTTGGAAATAAAATGTTAAAAAGTATACGGACTATGTAAAAGATGGTTCAAGGATATGAAGGATCACAGAGTAAAGAGAAATGTATAAATATACCCAGATATTGTGACACTTTCCATAATTAGAAGGCTAACATGGGCAAGGAAACATATGTGGAGAAAAGAAGATTGTTCAAAGCGTATTCCAAGGCCAAAGAATACCACATGACCACTAGCAAGACCAAACCTTCAGTGGAAATACTACGTTATAAAAGACGTCTCTAGATTGGGGTATAATTTAGAAAAAAACAGACGATAAAAGAGAATCGAGGAAAACACTTCTTAGGGTTTCAAGGGCAACGAAGGTAAGGTGGGGTAAAAATAGTATGTAATAGAAGGTGGTATCGAAGACAATAGATACATGTATAATATTGTTTTTTTAACAATTAGAAATGTTTACAGTTTGGGCTGCTTCAAGTGTTTCTAATGTAAAAACGTATTTTACAGTTCTTAAACCTCCAGGAAACGCAGAGCAGTCAACGTGGCAACTCATCAACTATGGGATGAAAAATAACCTTATAAAACAACGCTCAACTGTCAGTTATTTCAAAAGTACTGACAGTGTGTGGTGGAACAACGTCCGTGACGTCATGTAGCTTTGTGATTAAACTATCAAGAATAGGTTTAAAATAAACCAAGAAAAACAATATTTAATATTACCATTAATATTTAAATATGAGAGAAGTTTTGTAGAGGTAAATTGATGTCTTTTGTATCTTCTGGTAAAGCAATTTAATATAACATAATATTTATGTATAGTATAGATATAGAGTGTAGCTATTTCCAATGTAAACCTTTTGCGTTAATTATATGAGAGATAATGTAAAGCACTTATAAAAAAACCATGGAGTCTTAGGTAATTGTTATTTAGAGATGCTATAAAATATACTAATCGCGTACAAATTTTTTTTTAATATATACAGCATAAACATTATCCAATCCAGTGGCTTTTTGGTTGTACAAAACTCAACTAAGCTACCTTTTTATAATTCAAAATGAAAACATGACTCTGGAAAAAAACAATGAGCCATACAACACTATGGTATGAATATCTTAAAACTTATATGAAAACATAAAAAAAAAATATTTTTACAAACAATTTTCTATCTTGTAGGAACGAAAGCTGTTTTATACTACCTTAAAACCCGCGTATTTTTAAAAGCATCCGGTTAACCAAAAAGAAACTATTAATCAATGCACATAGCAAATGAGCAAAACGATAATTAAATACCATACATAGGACAAGTTTATAAACAGATAGGCTTTATAAAACCAAAAGCAGAAAATACTAGACGAGACTAAAATACGTCTAATAACGTAGATAGACTAAGGTTTAATGGTATGAACAAATCTAGTCAAACTACATGAATATTGACAATACATACATGAATTGATAAGATATCTTAATTTTCATTAATATCAATATGTATATTGAAACCAGTTCATTGAAGATATTATAAAACATCTCATCATGGAAGATCACGAGGGAGGTAGGTATTTATTTTGTAAATACATAAATTATATAAATCAAAATTTAAAATAATGAGAGTTGTTTACCGTATATTGTATTGTTTCACAAGCAAAGAAAACAATAGGCTGATCTAAGAAAAGTAGTTTTTCCATTCATCTTCTTTACAACTTTAGTTGTGTTCCTCCTATGTTATATATATTGTACTATATAACTATAAAGAATCCTTGTACCTAACCAGTGGTTAAACTAAATTTTTGCTCAAAACTTGTGTATTTGGAACCTTTTTTTTAAATTAAGTTTACACGTAAAGTAATTGAGCAACCTTTCCTTCAGAATGTGTTTAATTCAGAATGTATTTTACATCATATTTTTCAAATTTTTTTATATTGATAGCCACAATATTGTAATTGAACATTATTCAATAACAATAAAATATAAATCTAAAATAATTTATAAATTCTCTTATTAGGCTTTTATGTTCTGTTTAACACGTTTCCATTAAGGCCTTTTCACACCGGCGTACTGGACGTTTGGTACGTTTTTGTTCAAACAAATCGCTGCCCATGCTATCAAATGAGATCGTTTACACCACGCGTCCAGGAAGTCCGTGACGTTTTGCTGTTGATCGTTTGGAGAGCGATTTTTCTCATAAGTCCATGGAACTTTTCAAAACCGCTCCCGCGTACTCTGTGGTGTGTTTGTTGTTGTGGCGTTTGACAATAATTCTTCAAAGTGATCTGTAGTTAATCTAATATAAGTTCTAAATCAATCTTCATCCAGCTCCAGATCATCCCCACCATCATCATGCTGTAATGGTTTCCTCCAGAACTCTTCGGTTTTTTCATTAATAAGTTTAATCATTTACTTGTTCTTGTTAACGAGTGTAATAATACAGTAGTCACCACTATCACTTAATTTGTCCATCCATAGAACAAAGGGCCCGTGTCACACCAAGAAACTTGCGGAAAAACATTCTAGGTAAATAAATACACTGAGAGTGTTGTATTCTTCTGACTCTTATTGAACGTTTGTTACGTTTCTGTGAGGTGTGAAACATCAACGTGCTGGACATTTGGGACTTCCAGAACGTCCAGTACACCAGTGTGAAAAGGCATAGAAACATAGTAGTAAGTTTCAATGAAAATCCTTCATTTTAACCAATTATTCTATTTTTCCGTCACAGTGTACGAAATTAAACCAAGAAACAACCCTTACACTACAGACGACTTATTGGTTCTTGATAAGATGAAAAAGATTCCCCACGATGCGACTGAGTTCAACGAGAAGATCACTTTTACGTTCTGCTCGCGGGAGATGTGGGGAGCGATGGACCCGGACCCGCGGCTGCCCATGAGGAAGGTCAAGTTTCCCGCGAGTCATGTGAGGTTTGTAGACACGGGCACTGATGAGTGCTACACGCCGTACGAGTGCTTCCGACTACTGCAACACCTGCAGAAAGACCACATGGAGAAAGAGAATCTGCCCGACATCAAATACAAGTAACTACTGATTTTTCTGATTAATTATTTAGAGGAAGAGTAGCAATCGGTTGGTCAGTTATTTTTCTACGCTCTCGCTTTTGGATTTTATTGAATTTGTAAAAGTTATACTTAGTTGCAGTACATGGGAAAGTAAGGGCCACGTAACCTTTTCCTATACTTAACCTGATGTAACTTTGTTTTTAATAATTATGAAATGCGTCTTTTATTAGTTTGGCTTCACCAATTGCCTTTTCATGGTTATACCCGGGCTTGTTTCGTACCAAAGATTAATTTCCTATGTATTCCGTGATAATTCATTATTTCCACATACATTAGAATAATATTTTAAGTCCTGAAGGCAAATTACTAAAATGGGTAAACAAAGTGTAAAATAACCAATCAAATTTGAACCTAACTTTTAGGATAGACTTCCACTGTAACTTATTGTAGAATCTTGGCCTTCTGGTGATGACTGTGTGAAAATTCGTTAATTTCAATACTGATTCGCTGATTTTGACATCGTTGTCATCAGAGGCTCATGATTCAACATGCTAACTTTGTCCACACATTAATTTTTCTTCACGTCTGACTATTAGTTTTAAACCAACTAGTTCTTTACAAGTGTTTATTGTAGGACGACTATTTTGCAGTACGAAGTATTATTATCTTTCAAGCACTAAAGGCCCTATTTCCCTCAGTTTCATGGTAGCAGCTGACGGAACGATATATGAGGGAAGAGGCTGGAGAAACGACGCAGATCGTCCCGAGAAATTCAACCATCTACAAACTAACTGCATTGACATCGCCTTCATCGGCAATATAAATGGTATGTATATAAACATCTTACACGTAAAACGCCAAATAACAAACTTTTGCATTCGTGATTTGATAATCGTCTAACTGAAAATCGTAACTTGTGTGAACATATTTTACTACAGAATTTGGTCACATCTGGAGTTTGATATTCCAGATTGGATAAATGTTTATTTTTATACAACACAATCGACACTACGAGCTAGAAGACGCAACATAATACGAAGGTCATTAGACAATTCAAATGTACAAACTCTTTATATCAACACACATTGTTAAACTACTTAAAATATAGTGAAAACAAAAATATTACAATTAACTTCAAGCTATTTTCAGATAAGGAACAAGATGACTATAAAGATGCTTTTCCCAGGATGAGAAGTACAATAAATGGTAACGAATGGGTAGAGTACGCAAAGGAAAATAAATACCTTACAAAGGATTGTGAAATATTATCTATCTTCGATGAAGTACTTAGATAAGCTTAAAAGCACACTTTATTTAAATTCTCAGGGTAAATTATTGAAATGGTGATAGTGTGTTTTATGTATGAAAATAAAATTTGGAAACTGAATTATCTTTATTGCTGAGCCTTAACATTTTTAGATCGCCCGACAAAAGACGAAGATATCATGAGTTATAAGGTCACTGCTAAAAAAGCTGCAATGGATTGGATTGTACATGGTCCGCAAGGAAACAACTATGTTGATAAGAATTTCTTCCTCTATGAATTTTAAATCTATTAACGATAGACAATTATAACAGTACACTACTTCGTTTGTTTTTACTGATCATGTTTAGCTGAAGTAAAATTTCCTAGTTCGAAATTTACTGTTTACTAGATTGGATATATGAAAATATGTTCGTTTAAATTAAACTATTTAAAACAAATCTTTCTCTTTAAACATCCCGATCTTTATAAATCGTAATACTAACATATCTCAGTACTATAACAAAATATCACATTGTTACTAATTTATTTTACATTACCTTTCATCAGTTCCAAATTTTAACATTCAAAATGCTACATTTCATTGCGAGCTGCCATTTCAGCAAAAACTACAGTCACCGAAACCTGTACCACTTTGTGCCAATTATATAATACAAACTGCAACTATACAAATACAAACTGATAATAGGTATTATAAAACTAATTAGTCAATGTTGTAATTCCTGTGCCAATACAATAAATTGTAAACCTGAAATCAGTATTATATCTAAGAAAATTCATTATAAAAGGATAAACACTTTAATCCGGTTTGAAAATCCAAATCTAAGCTAACCATTTAGCTATTAAAGCTTGAAACCGGACATGTTTTTCAGATCCTAACCATTCTGTCATGAGGAACCCTTTCCCGAAGCAAAAGCAAGAACAACACGGGTTCAACTGGGCGAATCATGGGACTGACAGACACGGTTATGTCGTAGAAAAATTCGATGTTGTTCAAGACCTCCTGCCTAATATGTTCGACCCATTGTATTTCATGTAGAATAAAATAATCGAGGGCTAGAAGTACTTAACATGGTTGTGGCCAAGTTTGATGAATCAGCCAGGCTATATATTGGGATGCTGAAGAAAACATTCGCCTGACGAGAGCTAATTAATTAAGAATATGTCTGTTATTATTTGTCTTTCCAATAGAAATAAGAGTAATAGTTTTTTAAGAGTCAATTTATTTGTAACATTGAAGGAATATGTAGATTCAATCCAATAATGGTTTAATGTACCATAAACTAAGTTATGTTAAACCCAGGTAACACAGAAAAGTCATATAAATACAGTTAAACATAGAGAATGAATTGACATGGAGTAACCATAAAGGTGTTCTCTGAATGGGCACAAAAAAGCAGTCCGCCTACTCCCCCCCCCCCCCAAACATCACCATAACAAAAGTGCCTCAAATTTTTTTAAACGCTTTTAAGTTTGATAAGAGCTAAATCAATTAACGAATAGGGGAAAAACGTTAGAATGATTCAGAGTTATAAAGCATTTAAAAGTATGCAAATATTTTTTTGGAAACGATACAGAAAATCATATTTTAGTTGTAAGGCAAACAGTTTGAGCAATATAAATTTCACAAACGGAAAAATAAATAAATCACTCATAGTTAATTTTTTCATTATCAATGAAGTTTATTGTTAAGCGAGCAAAATCAACCGTTAAAGTAAAAACCTGACATAAGAAGAAATTAGGGTAGACATTTTTTTCCTAAGAACCATACCATCAATTCTGTTGCCGTTTTATCAGTCATGACTTCATATTTCATGATATCTTCGTCTTTTTGTCGATATAAAAGTTTTAAGGTTGTACCATGAAATAAGAACGGCTTATTTGTATGTTTAATTGCATACATACAACACACTATACAATTTTATAACACAATTTACCCTGCGAGTGTAAGGACATTTCTCAAGTTATATACCGGGAAATCTAATTACATTTACGAAGGAGGTCATCATTTCATGATCCTCTGCTACTTGTTTTATTTCAATTCCGTATCCTGCCCAAGCTGAACCGTGCATTTCACTTTTCTTACTTGGAAAAGGATTGTCTGGGACATGTCGAGACTCATCTGAAAATATAATGTCGTTAACTACGATACTTTTACTAACCTTTTTGACAATTAAATATGTTGTCTTTCCAGGAGAAAAATAACACTATGAAAAATCAAAGGGAATACAGTAATTCTAAGCCGGGTTAACTTTCAAAGTTAAAAATCAATCTGCGTAATCCATTTCAGAATAATATAACTTTTCCCCATGCTTATATTGCTAAGCAATTTTGTGTAAAAAAAGTTGAAGATTTCTAAATATTTAGAGTAATATAAAAAAATCAAAACAAATCTACTTATTGTTTGCTAATTACAATTACACACCTCAATCTAAATAGCCCAGTTGAAGCTATGCCATAAGCTGTATTTTTATAAATTAAACTAAAAATACCTTAAACTATTTAACGATCTTATAAATACTAGTTGATTTGGTGAGAATGCAAAAGAGAGACGTGGGTCTTTGCATCTACATATCTCAAAATAGTTACACGCGTATTTTAATGAAATCTCTCATGTAAGAATATAAACTGACAAATTTATCTTAATGTTAAATGTAGAGAATCTCTAACGAAAGTTAAAAGTTTAACATAGGAAAAACATTAGACCCACGATAAAAATAATAGATATAAATAAAAAAACTGATTAAATAAAATCCTTTAGCTGAAATTCATGCCCTTAGGCTCTCAGGTACGTGTGTTAAAAGGGTTTATCGAGAAAAAAAAACTATTCTTTCGGGGAAGTTGCTCATCGAGACCTTTTACTAAAGAATTCAGTTGATATGCAAGTTTTCTCGAAATGTTTATTCGTTTACCCTTATTAGTTTATATATTGAGATAAAGTAAGATGATTCATATCCAAAACAATTACCGTGTATCCTGAAGTAAAGAGTCCTTTACCTCGACTTCATAATTTTTTTTTTTTTATGATGCACACAATTTTGGGTACTTTTCTGTTAAAGGGAACATTCATTAATATGGATGATTTTTTCGATATATCGATATTTTTGTTTTCCGATCCATTACAAATTGACAACAACTAACTACTGATCTTGTTTAGGCTAAAACAGTCTATTATATAAATTAAGAAATGAAACTTTTCTAACCTAACCGTTTGATAACAGAAAAGGCAAGTTAAACACGGAATTTTTAAATGTTACAGCAAGTTTGGTTAGTTATGTTAGGTTATTTTTTAGAACAGTTTCATTTTATTACTGTTTGATGATCCTGAACAATATTTATCGTAGCTGTCAGCTGATATGTTTCAATTTGTTAATATCGATATATCGAGAAAAAATAATAATGAATGTTCCCTTTAACAGGAAAGTACCCAGTTTTGTCACAAATAAAATGAATTAAATGGTATTTTCAAACTATTTAGCTCTGATACGGGGTTAATTACCAACCTTTCTTATTGCCGATGAAAGCGATGTCGATACATTTCGTCTGTAGACGGTTGTATTTTGGGGCACGATCTGCATCATTCGTCCAGCCTCGTCCCTCGTATATCGTACCGTCAGCTCCCACCATGAAACTGAGGGAAGGACAAAGCTAAAAGACGTCCAGGCTACTTAGTAGCTACAACAGTAAAAGCAAGTTGTGAAGACAATGAACAAACCCCAACAGGGATTGAGAACGTTTGTATTATATAAGGAAAATATGTTTTACATTATGTTTATGCTTTTTAATTTTGATTATTCAGCCTGTGAGTCGAATAGATTTATTGCAAGAGAAAACTACACGATAGTTAACCCTTAAGACTGTATTTTGTCGATTTTGATGTTGGTTCTCGCTCTGATTTCTGCTACCACATTTGACTACATTTGTGGAGTTAGAGCTTTACTATAGGCGTGGAAATCGGCTGATCCCTAAAACACCTATCATCTAAAAATCATCTGAGTACTGAAACAGCGTTTTCGTTACTTGTATTTGATGTCGGGCAGATTCTCTTTCTCCATGTGGTCTTTCTGCAGACGTTGCAGTAGTCGGAAGCAGTCGTGGGGCGTGTAGCACTCATCAGTGCCCGTGTCTACAAACCTCACATGACTCGCGGGAAACTTGACCTTCCTCATGGGCAGCCGCGGGTCCGGGTCCATCGCTCCCCACAACTCCCGCGGACAGAATGAGAAAGTTAGTTCATCGTTGTACTCGCTCCTTTCATGCGGAATTTTTGTCATTTTATCAAGAACTTCTAGGTCTTCTTTGGTGTAACTGTTTGGTTGAACTGGAATAGAAAACGGTATCGTGTTTACAATAATTGCACAAAGTATGCTATTTTAATGTGTAAATGTGTTCTAATTTTCAAGACTAATTTTCTGGTGGTACATTTCAAACTTGTCTCTTTTTGTTCTATTTTAAGTAATATTCGTGCTTACTTCCTGGGTGGGAAATTCACAAGACATCTTTCCTGTTATATACTGTGATGTATTAGTATTTTTTAGTTATTAGTTTTACATGTATTTATGCGTTAGTCAGGAGTTTGAGTCATACAAGATATAAATGTTGAGTCATACAACAAAGCTTGTCTTGGTATACTGACTTGTTATTATTCAAAAAATCTAAATAATTAATACTACGAGAGGTCGTCCAGTGGTCGAAACTCGACCAAAAATGTCCAATGTACTGTACTCACTTATCTATTTTTACCCTACACTGTAAATAAAACATGTGATTGGAGTTTCTTCCATTTGTTTTGATTTTCTGTTTATATTTCGTTGTTATTTCGTCACCATGGCAACGCATAAGATCCATGTTAATTTTTTTCAAATTTTTAAACTCATTTTTCGTGCTTATCGTTGAGCCTATTTAAATTTATAAAGGGATTCTGCACACCTAGAGGAAAATAGCTTTCTAACGGTATGCGTAGATTTCACCTACGATGCACACGAGCTGAGAAAAAAGGTTTTAAAGAAACATGCTTGCCTATTAATATATAGATAGATTGTTACAATAAATTGTATAATTTTGTATAAATAACCTACTGTGGTCCATCATCCAGGACAAGTGCGATAATTTTAGATCAATAGACTAATATAATGTAGATGGATAAGTATACTTCTCAGTTTTTGTATAGCATACTGTCATGATGTATTTATGGTTTCGTGTTTGAATAACATTGCAATCAAATTAAATAAACTAAACTTATACAGCACATTTTGTCTAGTATATAAAAAATACCTACCTCCTTCGTAGTCTTCCATGTTTATAAGTTATGTGATTTCTTGAAAGAACTTGTTGTAATTGACAGAATTTGTTATCTTCCTCGTTACTAACCTATACCTACTAGTGCGAGTAATGCTCAACTTGATCTACACAAAGAACTAATATAGATATTGTTAAGTGCGTCTAGACGTATAGTTCTTTGGTTATTTATGAGCTTAACTTATCTCACTATAGATAGAGTAGTTGTTTATAACTGTAAATCTGAAAATAATATGCACATTTTCTTCTGAAATGCACTCTTGCTGTTCTACCCAACGCATTTGCTCATTACACTTTTACAAGTTATAAACTTGTTTTTACAACTAGTATAATCAGGGTTCGAAAGTAATTCAGGTGTAAGGGGACTAATAGTTATTTACTTATAAATAAATGTATCAATAGTCCGATCTAATAGGAAAATAAGTTCGATCATTCATATAGATTTATGAACTTCAATAAATTGTACTAAGCCATCTCTAACAGAATTATTTAACTGATAACATAATCTCGGTTCAATTTTCTAGCACGATCAATTACCTAAACAGTTAGAAACACTTGATCAGTTGTATGTCCATTAATACATAGTGAAATAAAATTTCACTTTACTCACATCAGTAAGTACGAAAGTTTACTGTAACACTTTATGAACTTTTTAAACATTTCTTTACTTGGTGGAGCTCAATTGTAGGTTCAAAATTTGTGGACTTTGACTTTTATCCTTTTATGTTTTGTGTACAAACTTTAATCATTTTTGACAGTACTTTTAGCTAATCCTCGTCAAGGAATCAGTATCACAATCGTTAAACTAGTTAAAAAATGATTTTACACTCTATTTTTACAGTAAATATATTCATCTCCTTAGGAACAATACTTCGTGTAAAGATCGTATGATATGAGCCAACTGTTATCAAAAGTTTGAGTTAATAATTTCAGATTATAACGTAAGGAAAAAAATAAGCTTTGTGAACATTTTTATCGTTGTATTCAGATTGTTAGCAAAAAATACGGTATATCTCACAAATTTAGTAATCATTGTTTTAAGTGCCAAACGGAGTATTTTGTCCGTTACGTTATCCTAATACAGCGTATAATTAGTTATGTAGATATCTTTATATTACAAATACAGTTATACAATTTGACAGCTTTGCTTCTAATTCAATATTACAATTTATCAACACTAATTGACTCATTTCAGGAAACCTAACTCTTTAAGAATGAGTAATTTGTATTATTCATAGGTTATAAAAATTCCATAAAAACGCAGTATACATCATGCAGGTTTTATACAGCAGATGATTTTTTAATGATAGTTAGATAAAAATGGAATCAACAAGTACCTCACTGCTCTCTGAAGAACTGTCAGACTTGATTGGTGCCAATTCATCGTCAACTGCTTTATTCAGTAAACTTAGCAAGGAGCTAGGATACCCGGACAGCAAAACAGGTAGGTAATTGCTCACGTAGAATAAAATAAACTTTGCTGAAATATCTGCTTATTATGCGTCAACAATTCTTAACATACAAAAACTATCTGTGAAATGACTATAACTACAGAATACTAACACTAAAATATTGGAATAGTTCAATGATTCACTATCATTGTTTGAATTATACATGTACAATTTTGTCAGAAAATGTAAACCAGTTATTTAGTTATTGGAATAATCTAAATTTGTATAATGCATAAATACATTTGAATTGCTATAACCTGACTACGAACGTGTGCAAATACAGTCATCTACCAATTAAAAGAAGCTATATAATGTAAAATAACAAGGTCATTATATGGTATTTGCACTTTGCATTAGTTTAAAAGCGGAATTTTCTTCTATAATATGTTTATATGAGGTCCTATTCAAAGTAAAGTTTAACGTGATGAAATTAAAGAGAGTTGTGTCCTAAAGGTTAACTCAAAGAATATGATAAGTCACTAATCAACTATTGACCAACCTCTAAATGAAATGTCCATCCAAGTAACATCCTATATCCTATTCTAGTTCAAATATATTGCGAGTCAGAAATGTTTTTTCTAAGCATACAAACGTTCAAAGATTTAATTTAGTTACTTAAAATTGTATTTAAGGCAATAGGAGAAGGGAGTTATATAGCTAAGCTTAGCAGCCACGATATGAAAATTTTCAGGATGGGATAACCCAACGTTCATACTGTACGAAAGGAAGGATTGGCAGGCTCTGCCTACTTCGCAGACACCGCCTATCGTGAAGCCTGTCAGAGCAGTCAGGTTTACAGACACAGGCCCAGGTATACCTTACTGTACGGACCATGAGATGTGTGCACCGATCATACAACAACTACAGCAGAAACACATCCAGGACCTGGGCATGGTCGATATACAGTACAAGTAGGGTAAATATGACTTTGACTGTATGACGTAATAGAATAATTGTCAACCAGCTACTGTGCTAGGTATCCAATGTTAGGAGCTCTTGCAAATAGTTGAATTCTTTTGCTGGTTTCATATTAGGAATATAGGCCTATATAGATTACAATAAGGATGCTCACTAGATTGGCTCACTGATATACTTTATAAAGTATCAATCGTGTTTGATTTTGATTTTCCAATTAAAATTAAAAACGGAATTTTTTTCAAGGTCACATTGATTTATTTAGGTTAAGACCACTTAATTGTAAACTCTGCCTGGCATAACTAAACTTTAGTGCACTATAAGTGATAAGTTTTCAAAAAGTATCTCTTAGTCATTAAATAAATAACTTATTGATCAGCAATAAATACATATGAAAGGAGGTTAAGTGAAAACACAACCTTTAGTAGACCTGAATTATGTTTGACCTTAATTAGTGTGAAAGGTGCGAAATTTTATAGAAGGCAGATACTGTTTTAATTCAATACTCAAAATACAAATGTGCGATTAGGAAAGGCATCAGTTGTCACTGTTCGGCAAACTACTTGGACAGATTTTAATCAGTTCAACTGATAAATAGACGTAGACGATGATAAAATCATGTATTATTTTTACATTTTACGATCAGTTTTACCCGCTTTCAGCACCTAAATGACACGTAACTTGGTTCCAGTTTTTACAACCAGTGATCCACAATAAACTTTGTAAATGTTATCCAATCAGAATATGCCAGTTATGTGTAGAGAACATCACTCGAAATAAGAAACATTACGTTAAGAATATCTAAAAATAATGCTTTAACTGTTTTTACTTACACTAAGTCAAATTTTTAGATTTTTTTTTTTATATTTGGATGATTGGCGTGATGGTTGTATTGTTTTACAGCTTTCTGATCGGCAACGACGGCACCTTATTTGAAGGCAGAGGCTGGCATTCCGCACCTCACATGACACCGGAGGAGGAGCAGATTGGAGAGTATTTCTATCATTTCGCTTACATAGGCGACTTTAGCAGTAAGTAAGAACAGAACAATTAACACAGCATCCCTCACAAACTTATACACATTGCTTAGCAATAAAAATACTAATTGCAAGATATTGATTTCGAATTCGAGTAAGTGAAGGATATTATACTATTACAAAACAAATTCAGATCACATTGAAGTATTTTTATCACGAAAAGTATTTTAATAATACCTTCTTATCAATTTAGATTCCATAATTGCCAAAGTCAGTAAAAAGTTGCTTTTGAGATCATTTTAGCTCAGTGACTCACATCTGCAACCATTATTTATTTATTATTATTATTTATTTAGCACAATGTTGAACGTTGCTATGATGGCTTGACTAGACAAGAAAATGGGCCATTTAGATTTTTAAATGACCTTAAAAGTGTCCGTTTGCAATTGACTCTAGTAAATGTTTATACTCTAACCCAACGTATACAATACTTAACCTATAATAATCCAATATAGATTTAGTTTTTTTGCTTTTGCATTAGTTTGATAATCTTTGGAATATAGTCAAAGTTATACAACTAAGTATAACACTTACAATGTTCAGTGTTTACACTAACTGTCTGCATCTTGTTTTATATTTCAGGAAGAAGCCCAACATTCCATATGCTTACCAATGGATACAGCATGATGGTTAAGGGAGAGTCGTTGAAGTACATTGTGAGACCTCCAAAGATAACTAATTTGAAAACACTAAAAAAGTCAGTTGAAAATGAATTGACTCTGTTATATAAGCGTTTTGAACAGAAGCATCCAGATTTGTAAGAATACGTTGTCATTGCAATCCTAAAATTGTATAGCTTTAAACAAAGGTAACTAGGTATAATACTAGAAAGGTATACAACAAAAACTATCCATAAAACAATATATGTTTTGTTACATTCTTCAGAAGCAATTTATCAGCATAAAATATATGTTAAAAAGTAATGGTTACGTAAATAACAATTGGAGAAATGTTGTCCTTACACCTGCAACCACTATTCTTAAAACAGTTAAAACAATTGGGAAATGGCTTTAAAGTGCCCAAAAATAATTATAAATTACTTAAAAATCTAATTAATGCCCTTACAAATATTTATTTTTTTGTCTAAACCAATCTGTAGTTTTATGCCTCGTAGTAACTGACTAACTGATTAAAATTATTTATTTGTACGTGAGTCCATTTTGTATCTGTGCTTATTATGGTGTAAAAATAATTTTAGAAAATATAAGTAGAGTTTTTTTAAGCTAATATTGTTATGAACATTTATGAAAGACAAAAGTTGTACAAAAAGGAACCACAAGACTTGGTCGAGATGTGTCAATAAGGTTGATGAGGAAACTTTCAACATACCGGTAAACCAATAAGTACAAAGGTAGGGGTTCTATAGTTTTGTTTCTTTTGGACTACCTTCATTCCCAATACATACCTCTTATAAACACGTCGACGCCCAAAGTGCTTATTTTGACCTCGCAAACCGTCAACCGTTTAACAATTGCGCGCCACGGCCCATTTTCATAATGGGTTATCTAAATTGGCTAAGCTCAGCCTTTGTACTTCCAGGACAATAGGAGGAAATTAAATTTTGTTATGGCGCGCATCATCCGTGCAGCCCTGCCAAGCCGGAAACAAGATGTTTTAAAACGTCTGTTTCGTTGTATAAACCTCCAAATGATTACATCACAGTAAATTCAAAACCTTTAACCTATAGCTGTAAAACAACGTTTGTGGATATGTTGATATGAGAATTGTACATGTGAGTATCAGACTTAAAATTATATATAGCCTTTTAATTGCAGCTGTACTGGTTACTTTTGGAATCAATTCACCCTTTCGTGGGTAAGACACCCAAACTTAGGAAATTTGGTCAATAAGGAAATAGCTCTTAAATCCAATTTGTATTATACATAGATTAGAAATGGAATAGACGGGTTTGTTTTTTGTAATTTATTTATTTTATAGTAATGCTATAAAACAACGTTACACCCAGTTACAAAGTAGCATTAATACACGGCAAAAGAATATTTAACATAATGAATATAGTATAAGTCCATCTTGCTGAAGAAATACTTCCAAGTATTTACACTCAAATATATATCATAAATAATCATACATAAATCAAGTTGTTTATATTAAATTTAACGAATAAATGTAGTAATGTTTTCATGTTATAATAATGAACGAGAACAATGCCAGTTTTCACTATTCCTAGAGGTTAAAAATTACGTCGGTAAAATACTTTCACAACTGTGATGAATTGTCTTTTCGTAATTTATTTTTTTGTAATTATATTATATGTAATTATATTTTTGTAATTGTATTTTCCGTGATATTTGTGACGTGCGAAATCAATGCCGAGACACGTGGCTAAAGTTTGTCCAACGTTTGATTAAACCCCCCCCCTCCCCCTACAAGTCAGACACAACGGCTATTTAGCTCCTTTTCTAGTTGTATCCCCCAACAAAGTAATCAAAAGCTGGTCGATGATGAAGGAAATTGTTATTATTTATGCGTCTGTAAACAAATAACTTAATATGCAACAACAGGTAATTATACGAGATGAATAGTTTTAATTAAATGTTATACCTTTACAACACAAGTCTGTGTGGTATCATATTACCATAGATTAAAGGAGTAGACTATACTATACTATGTCTATACTCCTTTTATCCATGATATTACCTCTTGAAACTGTACCTCTTACCAAATATTTGTTTGTAAAGTTTTTCTAACGAAAAATGTTTATTGTTAAGGAGTATACAATTTACGTAAATGCAATTTTGTCAGGTATCTCAGGAATTGTTGTTATGTATCCTCAAAATCTTAGAATGTCTTTGAGTACTAATACAAATGAATAATGAACGAAACAATCTCCTTTACGTAAACTAAAAACAGTTTACCATAAGTTTTATTAACATAAGTACACTATGTCCCATGCAGGCCAGATTCTCTAAAACTCCTGTTATGTGCATCTTTTCTCACAATTACTGTATTACTTCAATTTATAAGTATGAATTACGAAAAAATACAGTTTATAATATATCAATTACTGTAAAAACACTTGAACACAAATTAATAATATTCAAAGAAAATACAAATGTTGACGAACCATTTCCACATACATAGAGTTGGTAATTTTATAAATCTAGAAAGTTATTGATTTACATAGAAATGCGTGTAAATGGCCGTACAATAGAATAGAAGGGTGTAAAACATCCTGTTAAAAACTGCAAACAAGTTTGTACAAATAAATGTTCAATAAAAGTGTATATATAAAAAATATAGTTCCTGACAAACTAATGTACTTTATATATTGCTTTCCATTTTGAAGCAATCTCAGAGCTTAAACGGTTTCCCAGAAAGCCCGTCCGCAATGCGCCCAGCTCTAATATAAAGCCAGGCTGCCAGTGACAACGGCGTGGTTTACCCATCAGCCAAGGATTAGCCTGTCCTGACCATGTAGTCTGTGATGTTCATGCGTTTATTTAAAACTCAGGATTTTATAAAATCAAAAATTAAATCCCCTTTGTAAATATAATATACATAAGAAGTGTAAAATATGTCACGCTTTTCAGTAAAAAGGACGTAAAATTGTTCGCTGACATCACATTGGCTTGGAAACGCAGTGCTGCACGTTTTAACCAGAATATGAGAGGATAGCCTATCTGATACCTTAGACCATTTATTAAAAATACTTTTAAGGACAGCTGGGTCAGTTTCGAACAGAAATAAAGCCAGAACGGTTGCCGCAACGAGCAATGTCGATTAACCCGGAACGTCAACATACAATGGGCTTATGTTGCATGTTTTATCTGATAATTTTCAGATATCCCTGATTATTTCTCATAATTTTTTCGTTGGCTAAATAAAATTTAGATAAAAATATATCTTATAAAATATAGTAAGTAAAGTAAACGAAAGATCCTCTAGATATACTCTAAAGACACTCTAACCCATCCTAATTTTAAATTTACCCACGGAAGAACATTCAGCTTCTTAAGGACCCTACGTCACTCCCCGATTTTATCAATCCATTGTACGCCCCCGTTTGTTCTTGCGTTAACAAAGTCCGTTCAATTATGCCTAATTGCGTTCTCAAATTGAGCAACAAAGGGCAGCATCCTGACAGAGCTGAGCGTGGGCCGAGGAAGCGGGGAATTACACACTTGGAGTTTTAAGTAACCAATTGAGGGATTGAGCAATCTGACAAAACATAGGCAATTCAATGAGTTCGAGAGAGGCTGACAAGATAATATGAAAAGTATTTGTTTTGGTACGGGCATTTGAGTGTATGGGGTCGAAGATGATTGGTTTGGAAGATAAGTAGTATGGTATTGGTGGAGTAACTTAAAATGTGTTTAAAAAGAGGTATTTTAAGTGAATTTCGAAGACAGGAAAGGTTTCTGACAATATTAGAGCGGAGATGGCTCAAGTGAGCCATTCATAAGACATTTAACGAAGGTAAGTTGAAGACTTGAGTGGTTCACATCAATAATAAAGAAAATTATCGGACGTTAAAGACATTTAAATGGATTTTCAAACCTATTCCGCACCTTGATCAGACGATCATGAGAAATCTTGATAAAATAAAACGTTAAATGAAAAATGTATGAAAATTTGAAAAAAACAAACAGCTATCCCGTACTTGTACCACCTGATCCCAACTATTGGTGTTTACTATGACGTCAACCATTCAAACCATCAAATTAGGTCATCAAACAATGTCACTCTTTTCATAAATACTTCACAATTCAGTCCCATCTTCACCCCACCTTAATAAACCTCTAAATAGCCTTATTGACTCCAGGAGTGCTGTATCTCTTACCGAAATTTGCGTTATTTTGCGTAAAAGGTTTCACGAGTGATTATATTAGTACCCTACACAACCTTTTTAAAGCTTTTTTTGGGGAATTAAATGTAATAAATGCATGTTTTCGATCTTTGAAGCACTATTACTGTGCACTTAAATTTTTCGTTTTTAAGGTTTTGCGATGTATTATTGATGTAAGTTTATTAGTTCATAACCACATTAATTCATATTTCCACACGTTGTATAAATTTTTGTTAGCTTAAAATAGTGAGAGCTGTGAATAAATGGGGATAAAAACTAGATGTCACAAAGGGTAAATGAGGTGTTAGAAGGGACGTGTGTCGTACAATAATTGTTTCATATCGCTGTACACGGGGGTGAAGTTTGACATTAATGTTATAACTGATATTCCTAGTGTAACCGTGAATCTGTGTAACCTGTTGATGTGTAAACATCGCTCCTGATTTAAACATTCGGTGCATAAAACATATGATCATGTTACTTAAATAAAATACTTCGGTCAATTTATTATTCATATAGAATTGTATAAGTTCCAATAAGTACTCTTTTCAACCAGGCACAGAACATGTTTAAACTTGATTCACTATGTTTCTTGAAAATGTATTTATGATTTTTATCCAAATTTACTGAATACTTCTCTCCATCAGTTCTTATTTTAAACCTAGTTGGAAAAAATTTACTATATATTTACTGTACTGGAGTGAGGAGTGAGCTGGAGGTAGAGCACAGGACTTCAGTGCCCGAGGTCCTGGGTTCAAATCCCGCCAATCACCAATGGATTTTATCCATGTGATAATGCAACAACCCTTTAGGACTAACCTGGAGTAAGGTGTAAAATAGTTCCAGGATAGAACTATCGTCTTAGGATGTGAAAGCGAGACGTAAAAGATTATATATTGGAGTGTAAAAATAAGCATAAGTACAAATCTTTTAAGGACATTTATTTCTGTTAAAACTATTTATACATCGGCAATATTTTGTTATGTATATTATATTATAAGTAACATTTAGATTTCCGTAAAATAAATATTTAATAATTCGCTTTGGCATTTCGTCCAAAAA